TTACTGGAGGGTTTTATTACACTGAACTGGAGTTCATTCACAGATTGTCCACGAGCCAGGCTTCTTCAGACATGGAATATCATTAAGACTTTGGCAGTTTTGGCATGCTGTGAATTTCAGACTTGCTGAGGAAGAAGACTAAAACTAAATATCATTTCTTTTAAATTCTGTCTGTTCTTTTAACGTCTGTCATTGGTTGCCTCAGAGCTAGAACTAGAGGTCAGCACCCCAAACTCACTATCCGCTATATGTCTGGGCGAAATGCCCCTTTAAATAAAGCTGAACAGAGGTTTCCTTCACTCCAAATGGCTTCATCTCTTAACACGCGTGCAGGCAGCAAAACTAAAGTTAGCGCAAAGGAAAAAGCCTCAGTAGGCTTCAATCTATTTTTCTTTAATCAAAACAGAACCAAAATAACCTTTTGCTTAGCCAATAGGCTCAAAATAAAGTAGTCAATCAAAGAACCATAGAAAGTAATGGAATTGTTAGCTTGTCTATGGCTTCGTTGATCAACCCTTGCAAACAGTTGAAAACCAAGTGATCACCCTAGCATGTAATGAATTGCCTAGTGGCAGCCATGAGTGTGGAGGCACTGTTGCCGTGTACTTCAAAAACAAATGACCTGCGTACCATCCTAACCCTATGTGCCATACACTTAATGCAAATTCTGCATGTAGTTTAAGTGTTTGCGTGTGGTTTAAGTCTGCATGGCTTCAGCCAGCATCTGTGCCCAAAGTGACATGATGCTGAGGGGCTGCAGAACTGCAGCACGCCAGACTCCCCATTGTCGGGCCCCATAGCTGCCGTTAGGCAGCTTTGCAGGCTTGCTGAGCGTAGTGGGTAAACAGCAGAAGATTGATGAGCAGATGGGAGCACACTGATCGATCAGTTATTCCAGCTGCCAAAGCACTTGCTGTGCAGAACCCATGAGGAACAGCAGGTCACGACCCTTAGACCTGACCACATAGACGTCAGTCTGGACTTATTATCTGTATACCTAAAGAATTACAGCTTCCCTTGTTATCTGAGGACCTAAAGAATTACGGCTTTCCTTGTTATCTGTAGTGCATGCATAGTGCCCCACCGCTTATTAATTCTCCTTAAACCCACGTTCCCCCAAAATGTCACCATAGGCTGATGCTCTGTGGTGTCTGGGACAGCCCGGTTGCTTCCCCACAAGGTTCCCGAGGTTCCTCTTCCACTTCGGGGATTTCAAGGTAATAAACCTCTAATAACCTTGCTCCAGAGTGCTGTCTTCTATCTCTGTGTATTCCAAGGGCCAGTTACTGCCTTTAACACTGCGTAACTACAGCCTCAGAGAGGTTAAGCAACTTAATTTTAACTCACAATAATCATTAATCTAAAATGGGCCTTTGATAAACCTGCACATCTGCTTGTGCCCAAAATGTTGTTCAGCCTCAGATTTCACTCATTAGCCTGTAACATAACCAACCTATTTATTCTTGAAAAGAGCTCATAATGAACTATGTACATTATTCTTGTCTATAGCTTTGTCTAAAGTATATTTGTCTATATATGGGGTGTATGTATGGCTAGGAACTGTAAGATTCAATGTATAAAGAAGGCATAGAAAAAGGAATGAATCCTGCTTTCTAGGGGGCAATGAAGTATTCACATGATTGATGCCTATAATTATTTAAGCCCTGGGACTCATTGATGTGATATGTTTATCACCTGAACTGAAGATGTTCCACCTCCTCCTTTCCAAGGTGCATCAACTTTTTGAGAGCTAGGCAGGGAATACTCCCCCAGGAAAAGATTCAGAAGAACTTCCTGATTTGAAGGGAAGGGAAGGGAAGATTTACATCTAAATAGAGATCCAGGGAAAGACTGACATAAAGGCTATATGCTTCCTCAGCTATTTTCTTCTGTGAAGGCAAATCTTGTGGTGGGGAGTGTTTGCATAGGAAGTGGTGCTCTAGTCACGAGGCAGGTAAGCTTCCCAACAACACAACAGCTGGATGCTACGCTGAGTGAGAAGACTTCTGAAGTCTAGACAGGCACAAACGGGGTTTTCCTTTCATTTCTACTCACCTGCCCCTAAAGCCGTTGCATCTGTCTCTCCCATCATGTAAACACTTTTTAAAAAAATGCTTCTGCTTTAAGCACTGACTGATATTCAGAGTGGTTTTGAAGTAACTCAACCAACAAAACATTTCTTCATTAGAGGTGGAGTGAGCCTTGACATGGAGATACGACCCAGCCCCTGGGGGAAGCTCTCTAGGGCATGCAAGGATATAAGAGGCTGATGTAGATGTGGGGCTTTTCTATAAAATAGAAATCTTCCTGTAATTAGCAAAGCCAGAATCTCCTTGTAAGTTAGCAGGTTGATGAAGAGGTTTTCCAATTCTTGTGAGTTTCTGAGACATGGTTAGTGTTTCTGACTTCTTTCAGCCTGTTTTCCGTAGCTCATTTTCAGTTCCCAAATGTGGAGAACTCTATATTTAAGACTGCCATTTATTGATTTTCCTTTCCTGCTTCCTTCCTTTCAGGTTTCAATAACAAGGACCATCATACTGCCACACAGTACATGCAACAGTATAACCCTGGTGTTCCTGTGTTACATGTACATCCTCATGTCACTCATTGTAGGTGCTACTTGCAATTAACGATCAAAACAAAACAAAAAAAAAACCCACTCAACCGTTTAGCTCTCCCTGGATGTATTGCTACACAACCAGCACGTGAAGCATTTTTATGGTATTTGTGGGAGCAGTTTATCTTCTGTACAAACCGTGCCCTGACTGCCACAGAGTGTAATTTTATGCATGACCTCAATGTCTGACCCTCCCAGAGTCGTGAAGCGAAAAAATGATTTCAGAGCAATCCCACTAGATAAGGCAGTCAGATAAAGGGATTCAGGATACTAGGCATGGTCTGTTCTCCAGTGTACACATTCAAGAACTGGCTAAAAATGTTGCACAAAGGGCTTTTTCTGTTGAAAAAGTGACATTTCAATGCTAGTTTTGAGAATTTTTAAACAATAAATATTGGAGGTTTTTTGAAATTAAAGTAACAAATCAAAAAAGACCACATTTTAGAGTTTTTGATAATTTTGTAAAAAAGTAAAAAAGTCCAACCAGCAGAACGGAGACTGAGACTCAAGTTAAATAGCACAGGTCTTGTGTGCAGATAGTCTGCTTCTAAGAGAGCAAGCTCTGGAGAAAGGAGTTTACTTTAGACTGGGAACCACTTATGACTCCTGAGTTTATCTGTGCCACCTCCTCCTTTGTGGCATTGGGCAAAGTATCTTAAAAGGTTAAGGTACTTCTATGTCTGCAGAAAAGTGCTGCAATACTCATGTCTCCGTAAGCATAAATTTGATAGCACATTTAGTTTCTAAGGGTTACATTTCATACCTTAGCTAAGGAGCCTCCCCGTCCCCTCCCTGGGATTCCTGCCGCAGACTTGAAGGCAAAAATGAATGGCCTAAAACTTTGGGACGTTTTTCCACATGGACACAAAGCGTCATACTCTATAACTCACATTATCTGATACTTCTTCTTTGCCCTTAGTGACTGTAGGAAGGGCAAGATTTTGCAGACTAGGAATGGTCTATATGGGCAATTCATTTTTTCCCATGGTTTTTAGCTTTCTCTTTGAATATGTTGTACAGGCACCTAAGGCTGCAAATAAGCTAATATGATCAAAGACAACATCTGATATATCCAAACACATGGAGCCCACAACACAGCAACTCACAATCAATCAGTCTAAGAATACGCCATTTCTGGAAAAGCACTTCTAGGTGCCTTCATTGTCTTCAGTGGGCCAGCACATTTCTTTTGCCAATTCTGTAGTTCAAAGAGTTGTGGTAACCAGAGACACACCAGTTTTAACAACACCCATGAGTCGTCATCATATAGTATTATCTCAAGGTAGGAAGAAGAAAGTAAAAAAAAAAATAAATAATGCAGCAGTTATTCCTAACTTGCCCAAGGCAAATCAGTCTTTGGCGTGCATTTTTGTCCAGGCTTGTAGTTCTCTGTGCAGGCCAAGATATGTGCTTATGGGAGGGATCTCTGACTTCTTTCAAGGTACACTGAACACTGAAAAAAAGCTCATCATTTTGTAATTGGATGGTTCCCCTCAACCTTTCTTTTTCCTTGAGAAAATTGTTTCTATAGAACATAATAACAACACTATCTTTCTAATAAGAAGAGCATCTCATAGAGGATTATTTCCCAACAATGACTCTACTTCTGGATTCAAAAGAAGAAGCTGTGAAACTCTGTCAGCTATTTTTTTTGCCATCCTTGTGAATTATGCAGCTGGTAGAGTAAAGCTTTGATGTTGATTGGAATACTTAACTTTCCTGTACCTATTTAATATCATGATTATACTTCTGTATTTGATCAAAATGAGGAATCTGCATTAAAGAACTACACCGAGTACCTCCTAGTTTGATTTTTAAAAATGGCGTGTTTTCCCTAGGCTATAGCACTTACATGGTAAGCGCCACTCCAAGTTTAGCTTTTGTCATAAGAACAACTAAAATGACCTAGTTTACATCCTTTTTTTCCAGTTGGAAGTTTAGACTTTCTGTACTGCATTTCCTCAGAGCTGCAACCTTGCAGTTAAGAAATGATTAGTCCTGCAATTAGGTGCCTGCAATTGAATCCCTGACACTTATTTAATTATAGCATCACTACAGACACAATATGAGAAGCACTGAAATCAACTGTGACACACCCCTCCCTAGTTTCCCATTGGCTGAAAACTTGTTTGGCCTGATGGGTAAGCACTGTAGTCAGAGGGGATTTCAAAGCAAATAAATAGCAAGTCCTTCTAGCTACAAAGTGGATTTCTACCTATCTGAACTTCAAACCCGGAGCTGCTTTTAAACCCCGCTGACAACTTACCATATGAGGAAACTGCTAGACAAAGTATGCACTCTCATGTTTTATATTACTTCTAGCAAAAAGTAATTGGAAGACTTCCTAGGGCACCTCTTTTGAGGTGCCTTTTTCAGAAGAAGCATGGCTTGCTGTGCACTACAAATCACTGGCCTAATATTCGGAGGTGTGGGCATGGTTGGGACTTTGGCAGCCACAGCTATGCCTCAGTGGAGAGTTTCTGCCTTCATTGAGGGCAACATTGTAGTGTTCGAGACCATTTGGGAAGGATTATGGATGGACTGCATCAGTCAGCTCAGCATCAGGCTGCAGTGCAAATTCTATGACTCCGTCTTGACGCTTCCTCCATCCTTGGAGGTGTTTAGAGCCCTCATGTGCACTGCCATGGGGCTGTCAATCATTGCCTTTTTGATGGGCGTTGCTGGTGTGAAGTACACTCACCGAACCAAGGAGGATACTCAGGGTGTCAGTGTCTTCATGCTGGCGGCTGGAATCGCTTTTCTCCTGACGGGCATCCTCGTTCTCATCCCAGTGTCCTGGACTGGCGGCAGCATCATACGTGACTTCTACGATCCGAACATCCCCGTGCCACTGAAGCGAGAATTAGGAGCTGCTCTCTATGTAGGCTGGGTGAGCTCTGCACTTCTTATCGCTGCAGGAGCAATGTACTGTAGCTTCTGGTGCTTGGCTGATGCGTCCCAAAAATCCAGGTATCCATCACCTTCCCATCACAGGTGGCACAAACGTAACTTTGTAGCAGGGAAGTCCCTAAGCATGCACGCCTACGTGTGATCTTTCTGCATCAGGAAAGATCTACATTAGGATGTAGATATGTACTGATTGACTTCAGTGCCTAATTAAACTCTGAGTTTGTAATAGAGGAACAATTTTGTTCATTTGCTATTTACTGTTAACTGTGTACATACATATCTACTCTCTAACATGCTTATAGGAGATGTTATTCTACAGGCATTATGGTAGAGTTCAGTCAGAAGAAAAACCTCACCACTTTGTAGGAATGAAATGTGGCATGGGAACAGCAGCAGCTGAGAGTCTCTCATAGACGACAAACAGAGCATGACTGGGCTGGAAGGAAGGTGGCTACTGTGCAATAGCACCCTTGCCCCCCCCATAACCCATGATGTATGAAGGCTGCAGTACCTTTTATTCTAAGCTAAAGTCCTTGTAAGGACTGCTTGAGGACAGTGGTGGGAAGAATGGAGCTGGTGGCATGGCTGAATGAACTGCTGAATGAAAGTAGAAGATGCAAGCAATTTTACTTCCAGTATTGGTACACAAATGCATGCTCCCCCATCAGGTACCTCCACAATTGACTAGGGATTTCATAGGTGATTGTGGGGTTGATGTATCCTTCTTATTCTTTCTGCAGGGCACAGAATCCAGCTCATGAAATAATAAAATTCTTAATCACTTCACCAGACTTTACCCTAAATATATTACCTTTTCCATTGCCTGCTACCTCTTGTCTTTTATGGCTTATCCTTTTTTACAGGTAGCGTCTCCTCATCTTAAAATTCAGGACAGGTCATCTGTCTTTATGCACTTTAAAGCACTGTGCTAATGTCATGTGTAATTAAACAAACCAGGAAATGTAAATGTCTAATCCCCACACGCCCACTGGAGGATCAAGAGTTCCTGCCCACATCTTCCATCGCACCCACAAAAACCAAGCCCTAATGTTGTTCCGGTTGTTTTGTATTTACAAGATTTATTGTAAAACGCAGACTGAGATGCCTGATGCCTATCTGTCCATTGTGCGGAATCCAATTGTATTTCCAGTTGTGCATTTTTTTACATATGAAATTGTGGAACCGGCTTTTGAAAGTATCCCTGTCACAATGTTAATAAGTGAAAAACCAAAGGCGGCCGACTTCAAAACAAATTCTCTGTCCACTGGTTCTTCACACAGCAGTAATGGATTGTACCGTTCACTGATAATTTTATAACGCAGATACTCAGTTTGATCCTTTTCTATGTCTGTGATTGGTATCTGAAAACCTAGTTTAATGACTTTTCGAATTGTGCAGAGCAATGCTTCTATATATTCATTTGACTGTTCAATTTGAAGAGGAACATGAAAAGCTGTATTTAATTAAAAAAGTCTTTTATTACCTTGACTTCAGATGAACCCAAATGCAACAGTGCTGTCGAACATGGATATTCATTGCATATATTAGCTAATGTGCATTTACATTTAAGACAACTAGCTCAGATGTTTTAGTGGGAATTTTCTAATCACCAGAAAACAAGTTTAATGTATCCTACTCACTACTTGAAGAGTCCAATCAGCACTTATTAATTCCAGATGAGCCTTTAAGAGAGCATTTGTAAGTAGATTTTTTAGAACTAAAATATAATGTTTAATGTTGTCTTATAGCTGCTGATGCCACCCTACGTGTGGTTTACACTGCACTTGCCACACTAGCTGTCAGTGGGTGAGACGGACAGCTCATTTCAGTGGTATCATTCTGTTGATTTTGGTAATAACTTACACTGTCCTGAGGCCCTCCCCCTACTGTTTTATTGCATTTATGTCCTATAATAGTTAATTTGTTTAATAAGTAATTATTCATTAGTAAGAAAGAATTCCACTTTTTTGGATTCATTTAAATATTACATTTGTGACCAATACACCACAGGATGAAGACATTTGCAATGCAAATTTGATACACGAATTTAAATGGTGACGTATGCAATGTAATGCAACTTTATGTAGATACAAGTGCTTGCAAAGTAATTAAGTGTAGTTTTCTACAACATTAATTAAAGCATCCTGAACGCTTTCACTATCACTGGCTTGATCTAGAAATCAGATTTGAATTGGGTGTGCCATCTACACTGGGAACTTTATTTTCAGAGTTAAAAGATACAGTTGATTCATCTGATGCATTTAATATTCATTTCAAAGAAAACCTAAGTTTTTAAGCCCAACATTAAAACCTGACAGCTGCATACTACGCCCTCTTTCTCTTTTACCAATTGATACAAAGATGAGCTCGAACAAAATCTCTAAGCCCAAACAACCCCATCCTTGTGCGTGGGTTTGGAATCTGACCTTAATTCCAACTGTACAGCCAGTCTGGGCTGCTGTTTGGCTGTCTGGCTTTTCATGGACACAAATAGCAATTTCTGGTGATACAATTTAGCTCTTTAGACTCACCCAAATACATTTAACAGATCGCGGCTCTAAAATTTCTGAATTTGATGCAGGAACAAATTTCTTATGAGAGGCTCACCCCCAAATGTAGCAAGGGATGTAACACACTGGTGGACCTTCTGCTTTTAAACAGAGCAGAAATTCTCTTCTAGGGGAGGCTGGCAGGAAAATCCCATTAAAATGATTTTACCTCTAATGGTAAAATACCTTCCTACTTGAGAAATGCATTTGACTGAGTAAACTCTGTAGGCGCACCTCCATCTATAAAGAATAATCTCTCTGCACAGCTTCTAATGTATTGGAGAACAACACCAGGGCCATTCTCTCTGGCCTTGCATGCTGACCAGCGGTTATCTACCAGCTGCTTTTTAGGAGAGAAAATGATTTTTTTTTTCCTTTTCCCCTATTCTAAACCTGACTGGTTGGAAGCTGCAGTGTGGAGGCGTGAGAAGGAGCAGGAAGATTTAAGGGCTTTAACCTAAAACTGTGGATGAGCTTTGAAAATAAACTGCAGTTGTTCATGAATTATCTGAGGGGATGGGTCAGGAAGAGCTTGGCATAAGGGGAGCAATGGAGGTGCTCGCACAGGTCACTGGTGCCCGTGGTTGCACCTTCTGGCCTGCTCCAGAAGAGCTTCTGCCCCTTTGGGGTTATATCCAGGCAGGCCTGCTATCAGGTACCCCCAAGTGTCTAAAACAACTCTTGGTGCTTATTTAGATGGCTTATGTAGACCTGCCCTTCCCCTTGTGACATGGGTGAGGGACAGGATGCTCAGGAACGTGCATAACACGTTGAAGACACTTAGGGACAAGTGCCACCTCTCCATCCCAGGGCCCACAGAGGCCGTGCAAACGAAGCAGTGGTTACATGCTATGTGACAGGGGACCAAGAGGAAGCAGGGCATGAATAATGCCTATTGACTGGGCTTCTCTCTCACAAGAAAAGACCTAGCACGTGGGTGTCGTTTGCATGGATTACTAAAGTGTTGCGTCGGGTTTTCATGTGCTAGACTTCAGCGTTGATTGAGGAGCGGAGGCGGTAAACTTTCTCTAGTGATGCTGTGTTCACATTCCTCTAGGCACAACTGTCAGAAACTTCAGGCCTGCCGTATCTGTTATTAACAGCTGATTAAATATTGTGGTTGAATATCTAGTTTAATATCCTGATTCTATCATCTTCTTTAATAATTTGTGATTGCAGGACAAAATGACTTTGGAAATAAAGGAGAACAAATGAGATTTTGCTATGTATCTGAAATACGAACCCTTTGGGGTGCCCTCACTTACTGCCTCATTCATCATTGTTGCTTTTTTATTTTAAAGTCGTTGAATGTACTTCCCCAATGCCAGGGAAAGACAGCTACGGCCTTTTTATAATATCCTTTCCTGTTTCAGTCTTGTCTTCTACGTTATGTTGTAGGTTTTAGTAGATAATAAACAAAGTGGGTCTGATTCCTCGGGAAGGAAAATGCACAAATCCAATTTAGTGCTAGCTTCCAACACTTGCTTATAAGAAGTTTCTTGAAGCAGGTCAGTATTTCAAAGGCTGATCCTGAAATGTATATTCATCTCAGAGATGAAAAGAAAAGATTCTAGAGTAAACAATCCACCACTAAGATGCAGCCAAGGGAACGTATTTATGGCAAAAATGACAGCTTAGCAAAACATTTCGTTATAACAGAAAGATGAATCCGACAGGTTTTGAGACAAATAAATGCATGCACACAGCAGTCCGGATATGCGCAAAGCTCCCTGGCAGGGCCACTGACATGAAATGAGTTTGTGTTACAAAATGTTACAACTGCCCTGCAAATCATTGGGAAGGCTCTCAAAACCAGAAATGGGAGCTTGTGTCCTATTGATTCATTATAGCTATCCTTTGGAAAAAAAAGCACAAGATGTCTTTTCAGGGGAGCCCTGTCTCACCTCTGAAACCTGGGACAGAGCTGACACCAAATAAGCAGTCCCTCTCCTTTCTGTCTGGTATGGAAATACTCTCTGACTTACACATTTTGCTTCCCTGATTTGGATCTCAGAGTCTGAGTGAGACTAACTTGAAATTTTGTGACTATTTTGAGAAACAAAGAGTAAAAGAAGACAAGAAATGCCCGAGTAAGTAGAACATTTTTAGCCAAAGAAAGAGATCTGCGGCAGAGCGCTTATTGCATTCTGTTGCCATTCGCAGAGAATGTTCCAGCTGTCAATGAGGGCAAACCAAAAATATTCTAAAGCACAAAGATTTCATTTTTAGCAACAGCAAGGACCAGAAGTGACTCAGGAAAGGACTGTGACGGTGGTGCTAACAAGCCACATCCACCCACAGAGTCAGCACCAGTGACCGGTGGTCAGGATGGAACGAAGCTGGTGTGTACTCAGTGACAGAGTAACTAATTACATCTTTTTAAAAACAGTTAAGGTGAAAGAGGAAAATCCTATACCGCACTTAGCTGAACTTAGCTACTAGAAGACACGCAGAGTACAAAGGCTACCTGAAATACTTGTTCCTACACTTCCAGACCTTTAAAATGGAGAGACTGGACTAATTTTGTCATTACCCATTTTATTCTTTCATCTAGTCGTTTGACTGTCACTCCCAACAGGTTTCTCACCAGAAT